GAAAAGAAGAAAGCCTTTTTACAATACAGAACACAACAGGCGTACAACCACTATAAACGAATCAGAAATGAGACGAATACTTTAGTTAGACAAATAAAAAAGGAACACTGGCAGAGTTTCTCAAAATAGATGGAACACGATTTCTACTGAACACAAAAAGAAATATGGAGAATGATCAGAGACAAGAAAAGAGATGAACGAACTAATAAAAACGAAACACATTCAGAAGGAAACATGGATAGACTACTGTCGATCCTGTTTGCTAAAGGTGACGGTGATGAACCACCAACACCAGAGGTGACGACAAACGAAGAAATAAATATTGAGGAGGAAGATGTAAAGGAAGCATTAAGGAAATTAAAAAATAGAAAATCACCAGGAGAGGACAGAATACTGAACGAACTTCTAAAGTACGGAGGACCAGATCTGACCAAACAAGTATTAAAACTAATTCAAAAAATAATAGAACAAAACAGAATTCCTCAAGAATGGAGATCAAGCATCCTAATACCTCTCTTCAAAAAGGGAGACAAATCGGACCCGGAAGATCACAGAGGAATTAATTTATTAAACACAACACTAAAATTAACAACCAAAGTGATAACAAATATATTGAATGAAATTATAACACTAGCAGAAGAACAAAAAGGTTTTAGGTCGGGAAGATCATGCACCGACGCTATATTTATAATGAGGCAAGTGCAAGAGAAATCATTAGAATACAACAAACCGGCATATGTATGTTTCGTGGACCTTACAAAGGCATTTGATCGGGACAAATTAAAAAACGTTATCCACTTACTGTATGCAAGAGAGATACCTCTAGGAATAATCAAAACGATCGAAAATATCTACCAAAACAACACAATAAAAGTAAAAGAAAAACTAACCGACCTTATTGAAGCTGACAATGGGATAAGACAGGGAGATTCCTTGAGTCCTCTATTATTCAACCTGATTATGGATGAAATAATAAAAAAAGTAAGAACAAAAAAAGGATACCAAATGGGAGAAAAACAACTTATACGCGGCAGAAACAAGACCTGACACAGAGAGGACAAAAAGGATGTTAGAAACAGCAGAGATGAAAATACTTTAAAAAAATGATGGTAAGACACTATGGGACAGAGCTATAGTAAAATTCATTAAGCGATGCAGGAAGATGTAAACATTAAATCGTGCCCGAACCGGTATGAGCTACCGAAAACGTCGGCAGACGAAATAAAGATGGACATTTCGGTTAGTTTTTAAATATTTTGAAGAACTGTTACTTGCATTTATGCATAAAATATTCATTAATTTTGTAAATCGGATTATTTTTTCACTTACTATGTATTCAGTGATAACATTAATTTATTTGCTATGCAATAAACACGAATATTTGAGAAACTAAAAAATAATAATAAAGTGTCATAATTATACTGTTACTTATCGGAACGAGTAGACTCATTTGGAACATCTTTAACAATTATCTGCTAAATTTATCGTTGTTTATATGCCCTGCCTCGCTTAATGGAATAAGGTATAGAAGTATAGATACGCGATATAGATGCAAGGTGGAGAACATCAAAAACTGGGTAAGAAATAGAAGAGTAGAATGGAACGATCATATAAGCTGAATTACAACAGAGTAGTAAAGACGGCAAGAGACGGTTTCCCAATAGAAAGACGATCAGTAGGAAGACCACGAAAACGGTGGAATGACAACTTACTGGAGACACATTGCAAAACAGACCGAGTCATGTCTATATATAAAGAAGAAGAAATTATGATAAATCGAGGTATTTGCATGAAGTAATAAATATAAATTAAGTTTAGTACAAGCTAATGGAGATACATTAAGATCAAAATTAGGCTGCAAGCCTAATCCTTGAGGTGGAGAAGAAGAATATTCTTCTACGTAGGCATTAATAAACAAATACCAGAATACGCATAATCAAACGTTATACGTGATTTATTGTTTGCATGAATTGAAGTTGATCACTTGAACTGAAGACTTTGAATAGTGAAGCCTTCGAGCTATGGACCCTTTGTGAGCTTCTATGTATTCCGTGAACTACTCTCTTCACAAATGATGAAGTTTTTACAAGGATTTGCGTAGAAAGATATTTTTGAATATGGTAAAACATCGTAAAATATATTACGTGGAACATGTGTTAAGTGGACCTCGAGACTCGATACCAACACGTGCCAAAACTAATATTACAAGGAAAAATTTGGAAAAAACGTGGACCTGGTAGAAAACGACATTCCTGGCTTAGAAATATAAGGGACTGGTGGTGAATATCAGACGCCGCTACTATATTTAGACAGGGCGAACAAAATTTCTGGTCGTCTTACGACCATAGAGAAACGTTGGATATTTGATCGCCGATGTGCAGCTTTAGACATGACACCCGAAGAAGAAAAGCTGTTTGTATCTTAACCTTGGTTTTTTCAACATTCTCAAGTTTCTTTACCCAATCAAATATGTCCGAAATTTGGTTGTAAGATCACCAGTAAAGAGCTAGAGACATGACTAACTTAAATAGAAATGTACATGTAAAATACAAAAAAAAGAAAAGAATAAACATACGGATCCATTGAACAAATAAAGGTGCGGCCTATAAATCCAAGTTTTAATTATTTTCACCCGTTTCAAATAACAGGTGATTCACGCATAATTACAAGAAATGTGCGCATAAAAAGAAAATGGATAAACGTAGGTCTTAGAAAATAAACAAAACAAAAATATTTCTTTCTATTATGTCAGTAAACGTTTAATAACATCCGTAATATAATAATCCTGAAAGATCTTACGCTAGTCATATTATGAAAAACTATATATAATACTTTTGTATATTTTACTAATATTTATGGGATACCCGCATTTTAATATTCAATTTAAACCTCAAAGTTGTTCTATGCAACTATTTATTTAGAAAAAAAAAATATGAAATAAAAAAAAAACAAAAAAATGACAAAAAGTTAACAAATAACGGGTTTAGTTTCCAATACAATTACCATCATCATAGTTTTTCGTTAAACCCTTCTTCTTCTTAAGTATCGGAGATTGGATATCATAACGGCTATGGTCACTTTGTTGGTTGCTGCTCTGAAAAGTTGTAGTGAACTACAGTTAAACCATTCTCTAAGGTTCCTCAGCCAGGAACCATTCTCTAAGGTTCCTCAGCCAGGAGATGCGTCTTCTTCCTATGTTCCTTCCTTGCATAATAATTCTCAGCAGCTCTTATTTTTCTACTCTGGTTATGTGACCCAAATACTCTAGTTTTCTTCTTTTTATGTATGTTCTCATAAATTTTTAAACTCCTTATTTAGACGTCGTAGTACCTCAGCATTGGTAATCCTTTGAACCCACCGAATTTTTAATATTGTTCTGTACCACCACATTTCGAACGCTTCTATTTTTCTTATGCGTTGTTTCTTCAATGTCCAAGCTTCCATTCCGTATAGTAAGATAGAAAATATGTAACATCTTAGAACCCTCAATCTAGAACGATGCAACTGAAGGTCTCTGTTAGTAAGCATTGTCTTCATTTTCACAAATGCTTGCCTTGCATTTTCAATTCGGACTTTGATTTCTCTGCTTTGGCGTTTTTGTCATCAACCCAGGTTCCCAGATATTTGTATGTCTCTACTTTTTCTATTTGGGTTTGCTCTATCATTAATCTTTCATTTCCATGTTGCGTTTTTAGACAATCATAAATTTAGTTTTTCTCTTATTTATTTTTAGTCCGTATCTAATGCAATAATCGTTCATTCTATTTACCAATTCTTGTAGCGATTCCAGGGTGTCTGCCATTATAACGGTGTCATCAGCGAATCTTATGTTATTTACTATTCTTCCGTTTACAGAGATTCCATCACCCAGATCCGCTATCGCTTCCTGGAATATAGCTTCACTGTACACGTTCAACAGTATGGGACAGAACACGCCCTGCTTACTCCTCTCTGTATATCTATATTTTCGGACTTTTGTTCTTCTATCTTTATATTGGCCTTTTGATTCCAATACAGAGTGATAATGATTCGTAAGTCTCGTCTGTCTATATCTTTGTTTCTCAGTACTTCTATTAGTTTTTTATGTCGGACCCTGTCGAATGGCTTCTCGAAGTCGATGAAACAGGAATAAATATCTAGGTTCATAGATATTTATTCCTGTACTACCCACATTGCCCATTGGCGCATAGTGATACTACCCACAAAGGGCCAAACTTTCTCAAGGTCATTATGCTCATTGTCCAATTTTTACATGCCACGATTTATATTTTTCACAAGTTGGTTCAAATTTCAGAATGCCAACTTTGACTGTAACTGATGCCTCACAAGGAAAAAATATTAGCAACACTTTCCAAACAGTCTGTTAAAAAGATGTCGATTAATTCTATTGAGTGCCTCTCAATAATTGAGTGATTCTCAATAATTGAGAAAAATTGAGTGATTTTTGTGATCCTCATTTAACCTAAATATACATTTTCTATGCAATGTATTAAAACTATATTAATACTTCCTATATTTCGGACGACAAAGCAAAAATATAAGTTAGTAAAGCGATTTTTATAAATCATAATAGCCAATCAGAAGGTTTAAAGCAGCCGTACGGCAATTCATTTAAAACTCATCGGAAGCAATTAAGATTCTTTAAAAAAATGAAAATTGGTACATAACTCACAAAATGACACAAACAAGTTTTTTAAGCAGATGCATTCTTCACATTTCAAATACTTTTAATTACTTTTTAATTAAATATCTCAATTAAATTTACAACCATACTTTTAAATAAACTGCAATGGGAATATACATATATATATATATATATATATATATATTATATATATATATATATATATATATATATACATTGACTTCATGTATTTAAATCCAATCTATTCTCCAACCACTAACATGTAATTGAACTTTACATGATACTCTACCCGAAAGAATAAAATTAGAAAAGCAAATAAAAATAAAACAAACCATACTTTTAATGTTAAATTTACCTCTATTAAAACCCATCGGATCCCAAACATCCACATACTGTGCCTTCTGTCTTCCATGATCTTCAGCTACTCTTACACTAAGAGGTAGCATCGAATCTGCCAACGTTGTTCCATGCAATCCAGAGATCGCCGCCTGTGCTTCTTCGCCTCTAGCAAATCTAAACGAATAGATACAAATAAGGACATAAGTGGATAAAGGTGTTATGTAGTAATTTCTTGAAAGTTTTCCTTAAAATTTCTGAGACTATGTAGGTGTTTAGAAACCAATTTATTATTTTTGTTTTCAATAAGCCACAATTTTATGTTAAAGTTTAAAAGATGTTTAAATTAAGTTTATTTGAAGTTTCGATTTCCAATTTGGAAATCGTTCTCAAAAAATACAAAATACAACATTGAGACGCACTCAACTTGAACATACAAGAAATAAACAATAATCTTAATAGGAGGGAAAATTTTGTAAACAATTTTTAATAATTATAAAATAAGAACTAGTATAATACTAACCTTACAAAAGCAACTCCTCTTGGCATTCCAGTAATTTTATCTTTTAACAGCGTTCTTTGTACAATTTCACCGAATTTACTAAATATGTTATCTATTTCTTGTTCAGTAATGTTTTTTGGAAGATTTGTAATGTAGAGATTTGAATCTTTCATGCCTGTTCCTGGTGGGCGTGAATAGGAAACTTTTAACCTCTTATTCCTACAAGATTAAAATACATTACATCGCCGTAATACTACATAATCTAAATTATTTTCATTCAGTAAACAACAAATCTTTAGTTTACAATTATTAGATTTTCAAATATCTAAAATATCGGCAATAATTTGACTATTGTGCCTCCTTCTTGTCGGAAAATTAGGGGAAAATACGAGCAGAATATTACATATGGTACAGATAGGTACATTAATTCTGAAAGCGATCTGAAATATGCAGCATAAGAAAGTGAATTTTTAATTTCCGCTAACAAAGTCCAAGTGATAATGATGATTGCCAATATTTTATAATGACATTAAACTAAAGTTATGTTGGACGTTGGATGAAAAAACTTTAGAAAACAAAAAAAAAAAAAAGATAAAAATGTTATTAAATAAATTAGACGAAATAAATCGGAAGAAATATATTTCGAAACACAAATTATTTCAAACTCAGCAATTTAAAATGAATCAGAGATTACAATTGGAATGTGATCGTATAATAGTGTACATATTAAAACATTATAGATAGATAGATAACATGCTATGACATAGGAACACGATTTGTCAGCCTTGTTTAAATTCGTACACACCAGCATACTATCGAGATTTCACAGTTGTTTCCTATGATCAGGCATGCATAGATTATACAAACTCGAATCCAAAGACCAACAAGATATCTCTACATATTTTCCCACCTAGTGAACTGTAAAGGCACTAGTCGATTATCACACCCTTCATTTCTGTCTTGGCTTAACGAAATGTGCAAAATCTATCTTCAAAAAAAAAGCTTTCTGTAGCTTATGATGTTATGATACATTTGAAACATATATATGTCTTAATGGCTCAGTATTTAGTGAGCCTTCTGAATAATAGAAACAAAAACAACGGGAACGAGAAGAGAGGCGACTCCGGTGGAGAGCTCTGGCTTGACCCTAAATATTGAACCGCAAGATGTCTCAAGAGGAAGAGAGACCTAACTGGAGCTCAGGACGATGATAAAGAAAGAGGCAAACATAGCTGCTGGGATTTGGAGAAAGAAAAATCGCACAAAACCAGAGCAGCCGAATTGGTAAAACCGGAGGGTGTAAAGAGACTTCGAGGGAATATTAACAGCAGTGTCAGATGTATTCAAGGATGGTAAAATGAGGCCTCGAGATATACTATGAGAATAGCAGCAGAGAGTCATTAAATATTCAGAACACTAACGAGCACACTAGGTCATATAGTCATATAACACCACCTTGATATCCAACTAAATTAGGCTCAAGCAAACCTGATCATCAACCAGTCGGATCACACACTGAATGAACTCGTATCGTAATTCAGAAACCACTACAGTTCAGTAAATAATGTTTAACGCAACGAAAATAATATGCGTAAGCTCCTCATTTTCCTCACCTTTCCCCGAAAAAGAAACAAAGGAAGCAATAATCATAATTCGAGATCATTAAGACTGGTAACTGAAAAATCTGAAAATCCTAGTTTTTTTTTCAATCAATGAGGTCTCTTGAAAAGCGTTGAAGCCTAGTTATTTCAAGGAAGTATTACATATTTCGAAAGGTATCCTTCAAAACAATCAGAGATCTCGATGGCTGGAATCAGAGGTCTGCATCAGAATCTCCAATACAGTAAGGAAGCTTTCGCCGAACATACTCTTGTTATGTTGCTTTAATGTATCTAAAAGGGTTGAACTATTGCGAAAAACAAGCATGAATGAGCTCAGAATCAGAACAGGCTTTCTTACTGGACATGTGCCAGCCAAGGGACACCTATGTACAATGGGACTGTTTCATGGAGACTTAAACTGCAGACTGCATCAGAGAACCATATCTTACATGACTGCGGCACACTAGATCACAAGAGGTAAACACTTTTTGAAGACTATCAATTGACTGTGCAGTACCAACCAAGGCTCCAGAATTCTTGTATGAGTATCATAAATAAAAGGAAGATGTAGAATAAGTCAATTAGATGCAGTACCTCAGGTATTTAGTTAAATATTCCAATATAAGTATAGCATTAAACTGTGACAGAATATGAGTGCCTGTAAGATGAGATTTTTTGAAAAATGTGTCTGATCTCCATTCTTGTAAACTGGAGAATTTTGAATATTAGAAGTACAAATCAACACAACTAACAGTTTCCAGCACACATCAGTGGGAATGGTTTCTACATCATGTTCTCAATCTTGATTTAAAAGAAATGTTTGTGAATATTATAAAAAAATAAATAAATGATAAAAAGACATATGTATACATTACATCAAATTATATCCATTTAGAACTGTGATTGCTTTGGCTGCTTCTTCTTCAGTGGAATATTTAACAAAACCAAATCCAAAACTGTAACCAGTCTTAAAGTCTCTCATAATTTTTACATCTTCCAGTTTTCCAATAGTTGAAAATATTTGAGTCAGTTCACCTTCAGTGGCATATTGTGGTATGTAATTAACAATTAGTTTGGTTTTATCTATGGAACCATCATTCCTATCTCCAGCTCCATTGTTTGCATCCATCATATTATTATTTAAACTGTTGGAAGTTGTCTCCTGGATGTTCCTAGTATTAGCAAACTATTAAAAAAACTTTGGTTACTATTTTGTATATGGACAAATAAAGTTTTAATTTTTTTAACATTACAATTCTATCATCAGTTGCACAAAAAATTTGGTACTAATAATAACAGATGATGTGATGAAATGATAACAAATTGAATATGTAATTGTACATCTTATTTGAGATTATTGGCTATAGTGGTTCAATTATTCAATTTCCATATCATTTGATACATATAACTTGGTTTTGTATTCTTCATCTTCCTTATATCTCGCCATATTAAAATGTGATATGTAAATCCCCATTTTGGTATAATATATCTAATTGTTGATAATAAAACAATTTGATTTGATCAAAAATACAGACACAATTGTTCAACATTTGTCTGAATTATACCTACATGAAAAAAAAAACAGTCATATTAAAATTCTATGCAGATTAATCAGTCTAAAGAATAAACATAACTACAAAATATATCCTACTGATTGATACTGGCCGTTTAAATAACAGCTACACTCCATTTCCATAATTTACACAAAGTGTCCCCGATTTCACATGCTCTAGACACACAAAATTGTTACAATATGATACTCATATTTTTCTTAAATAAAATGAAAGACACTTCACCTAATGTTATTATTATTCTGAGTCACTTTATATAGTTTTCTGTTCTGTATAACATGACTCGGAATAATTGATAATAAATTAAACTTCAAAAAATATATTCAACCTATTAAACAAGTTAAGAACTTCAGCATATCCAAAATAATACTTCAATTATTCCTGCTGCTACAAGTTGTAGTCTTTTATTACTTTGTGATCTCTTCTCTCCCAAACAAGGGTAACTGCTCTTCTAAAAGAGACCATCAACAATAAAAGTGGCAACATTAGAGCTGGCAAGCAGTTTACTTTGAATATGACCCAAATCAGCTGAACATGGCCTGTGCTTTATTTATTTTTATTTGTAGTTCTTCTATTTGCTGATATTTTCAGACAGTCTTTCCCTAGATGGTAATTGATAATGTGGACAATGAGATAGCATTTTAATTATTTCTTGAATTTTCATTTATTCCACCATTCTTGCCTTCTTTAGCGATCATTCTGATAAATTGTTTATCAATTTATTCAATTTTATGTGGTGGTGGTGGCTTTTGCACAAATTGGTAATTGTGATTTCAGATCTTGGCTTTGTATTTACAAAATGTGATGTATGACCAGATCTTCACTATTTATTACTTGGACTTATGTTAACATTAAGGGATGTTTGCTTTTTATATGGCAATATAGATTTCCATTCGAGCCACTAGCAATGCTAATTGACTGGGGGGTCAGTAATTACATTTGGCTCTTTTGTCTCCATGTTCTTCAAAATAGTCCTATAGAGCACTGTGCTTTCTTTTTGAACTCATATATTTTTTAATCTATAAATAATAAAGACTTAATTCTTACAATTATACAGAAAAACAATTTTTATTTACATATATCACAAGTTATCAGGTCACTGTAAGTAAATTATACAAGAAAAATAAAATGCACCACAAACTTGAAATTAATTAGCCAAACATATAATTTAACAGTGTATAATCGGTGTTCACCTACTCAAGAGTAATCAGAGTTGATCTATATATTTCACAGCTTTTTAGTTAAATCACACTCACTCTGCCTACCAGCTCTAACTCATTAGGTCATGTTTGATGTTCATCACGTCTTGAAACATTCGAACTGAACTACTCCTAATGAAAGAAACACAAAACACTGAGAAAGAACCAACTGAGCAGTTTAAGCCAGCTCTGGTGAACCAGTTCATTTAGTTCCATATATTGTAGAGCCAAATCTTTGAACTAGGTCGCTCATGAACTACACAAGCCTAGTTCAGTTTTCACTCTCACATTTTCTTGATAAAGGTCTTATATTTCTCATTGTAAGTCCAGAATTTACTTCACTAAGAAAGTGAGTTACTTAACTTTTATACATATTATTTAGTAGTTTAATTTCTCTGAATAAACAAGAGGAAACACTAACTATGTGATTATGGTGCAAATGATACTAGTTGGTTCACTTTTATAATAAAAGCTATGATATCTCATTAAGCAAATTTTCTTTTAAATATGAAGTTAAACACTATTACAATAAATGACTTGTGTTTTGAGTGCTTTATTTAAAACTATAGGTGATAACATATAACTGATTCTTTTTCTTCTCTTAAATAATAGATTATTCTGCTGTGACTTGCACTGTTCAGATTACAGGAAGATCTTTATGATTAATAATATTAGACACAGTTCTATAAAGCTTGAAACAATTCTACAAAGCACTACAAATTATTGAGGTAAATTAATTAGTAGTCTGCAATGAGATAAATTATCATTTCAGTAATTCAATTGAAGATTGTGAAAAATGAAATGTATGTAGCATAAATATGTCTAGAACTAAAGGTTGTCATTTCAAGAAAAGAAGTTAAAATATAAAACAAAATAAATAAAATATGATTATACCTACTTATGCTATTATTATAGCTCATATTTCATAAATTAGTTGCCAAATAAAATGTGCAAATTTTGATGAATTGACTTGCATAAAAACTATTAGTACTAGGTTTTTCAAATATAAAAATGTTCATTAACAAGTAATACTTACTGGAAAATTTCCTAATTGTGTGCTAAACATCCTGAAAACAAAACTAAACTAGTAAAAGAGGAAAGCAAGGTAACCTGTAGCCAGCTCTAAATTGTTTCCCAACTCCGAAATTTAACATTAGTAATTATTGCATTTCCGATCTTTGAGTGCGTTTAATTAACTTGAAAAAATACTAAGATACCATGCAATTAATTATCTAAATATTTAGCACATGTATTAAAGAGGTTATCAATACCGGGATTTGGGAATAATTTAAAAGGTAATATGAATTTAACTATTCTGCAATTTATTTTTCACAATGCAAATATCAAAATTGACATACCTTTTTATAAAATCAAACCAACAAACTAAAATAAACTGGACAAAAACCAAACGTATAATGGAGATTTTGCTCAAAACAAACTTGATTAATTTCATTTTCAAACATTACAAAAGTGGAAGGGGATCTGTTCATTTCAAAACTTGACATATCGAGAGAATGAGGCTATACGCCACGTTCATGCACTAAACAAAGATAAGATGATAGATGAAAATTACGTAAAGGAATCTGACAGGTTAGGAACAAAGCTGTCATTTTTCGTAGGAATTCAAAAAAGTATATCACAATATTTTTTTAAAATTTTTAATAGGAGTAACAAAATTTAATTAAAAAAATAAAATCTTACAAATTCCTTGAATTATTAAAAATATAGGGAATCGTATTGTCTACATTAATTGTATTTTATGCTTAAAACATCCTAATATTTTTAAGATAGTGTCATTTTTTTTTGGATAAAAATAAAAATTTATATTAAATTTTGTCATTGTATTGATATAATTGAGTTTTATGCAATTTCCAAGAAAAACTTGCTTTATCCTTTTTTTTATATATAATACTATTATATTTTTATATATATATAAAAATTGCTTCAATAATATGCCATAACCAATTGTAAGTAATATGGCATCTTCGTCCTTCACTCTATAATCTAATCTTCTTCACATTCCTGGATAGCCTCAACTTTATCGATGCCACTGTCGCCTATAAAATTTCTTTAGGTATCCATCAATCAATCAATAATGCCTTTTTATTTCTGATTAAAAAAACTACAATACAATATTCTCTTTTAGCGACATTTGTTCTCCTCGGCACATGCTATCAGGAGGGTTGGCAAACAAATATTATTCCCTAATATACAAAAAATTACACTAAGGCTCATTCTATCTAACAAGGTCGTTAAAATTAATAAATATCCTACTGAGTAACACTAGACTAAACAATAAAAACAATGTATAACAGTAAGGTATAGCTTATTGCATTTGAAATGATTGAAGTTGTCCCTTAGAAGGAGTGAAAGCTGTTTATATAATAATAATAAGATAGACAATCAGTCGAATCATTACCTATAATCATATTTTTAAGTGCTTCGGCATCTTCTGGCCGAAGCCATTCTTAACAATGATTAATGATATCAGACATTGCTTAAACCTGCAGTTTCTCATGCGAATATTTTCCCCAAGGAATTCGAGGTTTTCGTCCCTTATAAACATATTTTGCTGAATTTAAAACCAAAATCCTATTATTTTTCTATCATACATCTATTTGTTATTTATTTATTTGTCCTCTAGATTTTTTCAGTTCCTCAAAGGTTTATTTGTAAGCCAAATTAGTGCAATGTAAATATTTTACATTTTACACAGCAATTCTTATCGGCAGTGAAGAAGGAAGTAGTAAATTTGTATTACATTTTTCAATGTGAGATAAAATAAAAATGCAATGACTAACTGGAATGTTTAAGAATAGAGAAACATAATGTCATATGTTTATTGGAAATACTGGACATCATTAGCACGTGCAAACCCTACTCAGTGCATGTTTTTAGGGTCCATTTATTTTTTCATGAATGCGTATTTACGAGGTTTTGAAATATGTTTACCTTCTTCTTCTTCTTCAAGTGCCCTCTCCGCTACGAAGTTTGGCAATCATCATTGCTATTCGTATCTTTAAAGCTGTTGCTTTAAATAATTGGTTAGATGTGCACTGGAACCTTCCTTTGCCCTGAATCTTTCCTTGGATAATTAAATGGAGCAATCGGTACTGTTTCCCTCTCATTACATGACCAAGATATTCCAACTTTCGTCTCTTGATGGTGATCAACAGCTCCCGTTCTTTGTTTATTCTTCGAAGAACTTAGAAAGAAGATTTTTTAACTTTGTCCATAAAATTGTTCAATAATTTTCAGTGACAATAAAGCATATTTCTATCTAACTACACTATTTGTTATTTTGTCTGTCCAAGGTATTTTCAAAATTCTTCTATATATCCACATTTCGAAGGCCTCTAGTTTATCGGTATTGCTCTTGTTTAAAGTCCAAGTCTCTATCTCTCTCAATGTTTACCTACATAACTATAATCATTGAATTACCTAAATGTCTGAAATGTTAAATTTATAATATACTCGTAATAATATCGTTTAAAACAAATAAAAGTAAACAGTTACATAAAACGTCATGCGTATTTATATTTATACCACATACGATAGAGGTTATTTGTACTTGAATACACTAACCTTAAGCGATAAAATTTTGCAACGGATTAGTATTACTAAAATAGACAAATAGATAAAAGCACGAGACATCACTCCCTCGAATTTACAAATACAAGAGTAGAACTGCAGATCACCGTATGTACCACATACGCGCGCCTATCGGAAGGTTAATGATATACTTAACTGAAACTCTGTATTACTCAAAAGTGTGTTAATGTTTCCATTTATAATTATACAATTAAATAACTCCATGTGGGTATCTTTTGATGAGTTAATCCACGATTAAATTAAATAGTCATAACATAGCTTAATGTGTTCGCGTATCTACTTAGTTGCTTGTGTCAGTTTCCGTAAGTGGTGTCTAGATATTTTCAACTGTGTTTATGATGTCCAGTAGAATTTCTCTATTATGCAAAAGATGAATTATATTTTAGGTATATACTTACATGGGCTCAATCTGTAGAACGCTTTCTTCATGTCGATCAAGCATAGAAATGCTGGTATATTATATGGGTGAAGGGGGCTCCTTCAGACAGGGTGCATCATCAGACATTGATATTGTTTAAGGACTCGGGTTGACAACAATGACATCAAAACATTCCATTACTGCTCACAGAGGTAGGTGAATTGTGATACTACTCACACTATTGTCACAGAATAATAAACAATTATTCTGTGCTATTGTAGTTCAGTCTGTAGAATAGTTCAGTAAAGGGTTCATGTCATAAAGTGAAAAGTTAGTTTATGGTGGTTGAAAGTCAAATTTTTGGATTGAAGGTAAGATAAGTTTTTTATTAGAAGATAAGACTTAGGATAATTAACATTCCTACCAGGTTTAAGTCCATTTATTACTGTATAACCTGTACTATTCACATTTGTTACTGATGGGACTCTTAAGTTATATATTGAGTAGTCTGGACACATCGAGTGGGGCACCCTCAGATAAAAGGGTATGGGGCGCTATCAGACGTTTAAAAAGGGTTTCTCTTTGTTGCAGATTGTCTGAAGATGGTAAGAAATAGGAAGAAAGGAAAAACAAACGAAAATTTCGATGCCGAATCTATGAAAGAATGTGTAGCGGTCATCCTGGTCGCTATACGGTTTTATGAAACGCTACCCAAGATTATCTCTACGTGTTGCTGAAGGATGCAGTATTGTACGTGCAATTTCCTTTAACAAACCTAATGTGACTGCTTTTTTTAATAATTATGAAAAATTAATCAAAAGGTACCCAGAACTCTGTAACTCATCCAGGATTTGGAATATGGATGAAACAAGAACTGAAACTAACCAAGAACCTTCTTGTATGATTTCACAAAAAGGCCAAAAACAAGTAGCAGCTGCTATAAGAGGTGAGAGGAACTCTGGTTACTACAGTTTTGTTTATAAATGCAGCTGGAAATACAATACCGTATTTCCGAGAGTGCACTTCAAGAGCCAGATGATAAATGGAGCAACAAACGGCACCTTGGGTTGGCCTTATCAGTCAGGTTGGATGACCACTTCCAATTTCGTTAATGTGAAGCAGCACTTTATAAAATGTTCAGGTTCCTCTGAAAAGAGAAGAAGTTCCATCCCATTGTACCCATATGATGCAACCACTGGATGTGGGATTGATGAAACCTTTTAAAACATATTATAATGCTGCAATTGATTTATGGTTGAAGTCTAATCCAGGCCAACATTTTGGAATCTATTATGTGGCTGCCTGTGTTGGAATAGCACATGGCCGTGCCAGGTTACCACAGAGCATTATAAATTCTTTCAAAAAAAAAAACAGGAATATTAAATAATATTAAAAACTCAGGAGTACCTAATGCTCCAGACGAAACTCTTGAAAAATATTGAAATAAATAATTTCTAAAACATTTACATGAGGTTGTCATTTTTCCAATTGTGTCTGAACCCCATTCCCCGTCTGTCATTTGTCAAAAATGTCCCCCAGACATTTTTGAAAAAGTGGTTTAGATTTTTTTTACCAGTATAGAGCTTAATATTAAAACCATATATACAGTGAAAGTTGGGTGAACAATGTATTTTATGAATATTTTCTTTCTTTATTTGGTGAGGACGTTTTAAATGACGAATACTGAATATTATACGATCTTTTCGTACCAAAAACTTTGTTGCTCATGAGAAGCTTAAAGCTTATCCTCTGATTTGTTCGTTCTCGCAAAATTTTAGTTGTAAGTTTCATATTTATATTTAAAAAAGTTTTATACTTTGTAGTATTATTTTTGTTATAATAATTTTTTAATAATTATACCATTATTGCCCCAGTTCCAGTTAGTCACTGGTTGGATACTAATTATCCGAACAAATGGATTGGAAGGGGAGGTCCTATTGAGTGGCCACCGAGGTCACCAAACTTACTGCCATTTGATTTTTTTCTATGGGATTACCTTAAGTCAGTTATTTATAAAACTCAACCTGCGTCACTTGAGGAATTGCGAGAAAGAATTAGTAAGTATGTCGCGCTATCACTAGAACAACAATTACCAAACATCGTGCAGAATTTGAACATAGGCTGTATGATCGTTTACAAAACAACGAAACCCACTTTGAACATTTACTAAATTGACATTTTTAACAAATTTGTAGTTCAACAAAAACCTCATTAAATTTTTCATTTATGCCAAAGTTTCACCATTATTGCTTCAACCTGTGTAATTATTATTTATATCATTGGACAGCAATTTCTATAGTCATAGTCTTTTCAATGATGTATCACACGTAGCGGTTTGCAATTTAAACTTTTTTGGTTGTGGTGGGTGGGGCCTAGGTGGTTGAAGGGCGTGAGTTTTGTTTCATGTCATTTTAGTTCCTCCTTACTATCCTTGACATTCTTACCAAAATTCAGCTTGTTCGTATGATTTTTAGAGGTTCAGTG